TTTATTATCATTGCAAATTAATATTTCATTGTCAGCAGGCAGTCACACAACTGCTCTATATAGCATAGTCCACCACATAACGAATGATGGCGGGAAACTTATGCAAATTCTATTTATTTATGCACATTCACAAACACTTACAAACTTACACTTACATACATACATATTTATGTACACAAAGAAACAATACCCTGTAGTTCAGCTGCGAATTGCTTAAGAATCGGTAATGCATGGAATCACCAGCACCATTAACCAGCCAAACTCCAGCAGAACTACAGTGTATTTAATGAGTAAGTACATACAGGGGTTGCACCTAAGTAAAAGTATTGTTACGTGTTGCATTATTTTTTGTGATAGCAGTAATTCCATAAAATTTATTATGATGTTCATTTGGTTCACATGCGCACATGCGCACTAATACAAACGCTTTTGTGGATAAAATTGGCACACTTCTTTCGATATGTGTGCATACATATTTATGTATAAGAATTCTTACAAATTAAAATATGTATGTTTTTTTTTATACCCCTCATGAACATGAAGTGGATTATAATTTTGGTTTTGCCGTCGAACTGAGTCGATTTAGCTATGCTATGTATATATCCATAAGTTTCTCGAAGATGGCTCTAACGGTTTTAATAAAATTTTGTATGCAGATAATGTTTGGCATTGTAAGGTTATTTGGACAGCCAGCATCACCGATAAAATTCATATGTAATGCAAAGTAATTAAAGATTCTCAGTCTAGAGATATTTTTGAGTAGAGTTGCCACCTATTTGTCATCGTCTATTTATTAGTTGCTTGTTTAGAAAATTAAGTTACAATATTACTATTTAAAGCTCTTAAGCAGTACTTCGCTTATATAGTAAGCGTTATCCCTTAGAATATTAGTGTAATGTTGCCACTTATTTTCGATGAGCGTTTTATTTAAAAGTCGTGAAATTTCGCGAGCTGTTTTCTAAATAATCATACAAAGTCCGCTAAGAAAATTTTCAAGATCGGTGTTGGATAAGCAATTTATCCTATACTACCGATTGTTCAAGTAAAAGTTTTTGCGATATATGTAAGTAACCCCTTCTATGCAATAATCATTTAAATTAAAATTGTCGGATGTTCATGAAAGGTATGAAGCCTTCGGGCATAGCCGGTTGCAGTACCGCTCTTACTTGTTTTTGTTTGGTGCAGTGGTCTCTGCAGGCTACGCATCAAAATATTTGCAGGTGTATATGTATGTATGTACATATGCTGTGTGACCCACTTTTCGTTTGCTTTCGTTTACACTGGAATTAAATTTGATATGTACATATATGTGCATACGTATTTACTTTGTACACAACTTAGAGTCCTTTGATTGTTTACATATGCACAACTCAAGTATTTACCCACTCACGCATACACTCGTATAATAAAAATAAATATTTATAAATGCAATATTCGCATTCTGCAGCAGAAATATGCAAATAAGCATTGTGTCCAACTTTACACAGTGCACGAGTGCGATCTACATACATATCTACATACATAGGGATGTTAATTTTTTCGATTTTTACCATACCGGGATTTTCGGGATTTTGGAAATATTTAAACCATTTTTTGAATTATTTGTCTTTCAAATTTCAAAGTTCTTTTAAAAAATCCTGACGTCAGAGAGAAATTTTAAGAACGCAAATTTACTACATTTGGCCCTTGGTTTGGCGAATATATTTTGTTTTTTTTGTGTGTGAAAAACTACCTGTCGCAAGGTTTTATATGTACGTATATTGAGCTACACATTTATAAAAAAAAATTTTAAATATTAAATAAACAAAAGAAATATAGCCAAAACTGGTCAACATAAAGCGTTTCGATTATTGCCACCAGTATAAATTACAAACCCCAAAATCCCGGACGCAGACGATTTAACGATGAGCTGTATGAGCTTTATATAGACATAGTTCAGCGAATTAAAATTCAGCGGCTCCGCTGGCTTGGCCATGTCGTTCG